TCTCTCTCTCTCTCTCTCTCTCTCTCTCTCTCTCTCTCTCTCTCTCTCTCTTTCTCTTTTTTTCTCTCCCCCCCTCTCTCTCCCTCTCTCTGTATTTTAATTTAACATTCCCAGAAGCCCATGTGCTTTTTCAGACAAATGTTTGAAAACAAAAAAAAACAGAGAACAATTAAATTTTGTCAGAGAAAAAAGGGCACTGCCTCTGACTTCATTCAACATCAGAAATGGACTTTGAGTGATTTTGGAAATTGGCTTCTATTGAAATCCAATCCGGGTTCTTTCTTTCTTTTTTTTAAACATACCTAACTCTCCCTATGCTGCATTAAATTAAACATGCATTGAAACATTTAAATCTAAGTCCAATTTCGTCTTTGATACTTCTATAGCTGTCAGGCGCTTGATCACGGCCCAAAACCCAAAGCAGTTGATTTTTAAAAAAATGATTCCCATAGTCTACATCAGGGGTGTCAAACTGCCATGCCCACCCCATTGCAGGCAAATGGAGAAAAAGTTACGATACGTCGCGACACGTCACGTGACGTTGCGAGTTTGACACCCCTGGTCTACATGTTTAGCAAGATTGATTAAGGTAGGGTTACAAGCAGTGGTGGCATTCAAATAGGTGAAGAACCGGTTCTCTGTGTGGATGCCGCTTCCGGAAGTCCACTCTGGGCCTGGGCAACAAAAAATTAGTTACCAGTTCAGACAAACTGGTGGGAACTGGCTGAATCCCACCACCGGTTACAAGAATTGCACCAGCTCAGCTTTTTTCCCTCTGCAATTAACAACCACGTACATAAGGATGGGTTTTGTTTTTTTTTACTTTTCCACAGCCTCCCTGCAAACCAGTGAGAATTAAGGAGTTTGCAAACTATGGTTTGTAGAATCATCTCCTGGTTTAGACTAGAATAGAAAATACCGAAAGGTAATCATCACTTACCAGTTGATGCTTCATATGGATGGTGATGAGGGGAGAGCTGGAGAGATTGTGAGACAGAGTTGGTGGTGGCTCCATTGTCAAGGAGATAAGGTAGCTACTAGCAAAAATCATACACTCCTTGCAGGTAGCAGCTTCAGGGATTCTGCGAAATTAAAGCAACAGTTTATTAGTGACCTGTGAGGCATTTTGTTTCTTCAGACACCCATCTTTATTTGGGGAGGGAGAGAGGGATGGATGGAAGGAAGGAAGGAAGGAAGGAAGGAAGNTCTCCTCTCCCCTTTACCCTTCCTTTCTCTACTCTTCCTTCACCCTTTCCTTTCCTTTCCTTTCCTTCCTTCCTTCCTCTCCACTCCTTTAACCTTCCTTCCTTCCTTCCTCTCCTCTCCTCTCCCCTTTACCCTTCCTTTCTCTACTCTTCCTTCACCCTTTCCTTCCTTCCTTCCTTCCTTCCTTCCTCTCCTCTCCCCTTTACCCTTCCTTTCTCTTCTCTTCCTTCACCCTTTCCTTCCCCTCCTTCCCCTCCTTTCCTTCCTTCCATCCTTCCTTCCTTCTTTCCTCTCCTCTCCCCTTTACTCTTCCTTTCTCTTCTCTTCCTTCACACTTTCCTTTCCCTCCTTCCCTTCCCTTCCCTTCCCTTCCTTCCTTTATCCACCCATCCATCCATCTGGCTGGGGAATTCTAGGAGTTCACACATCTTAAAATTGCTGAAATTGAGAAACACCGTGTGAAGTCAAGCAAATCTATCCAATCTTATATTCAGGAATAACAAGCGTGTTGTGCTTTTAACGGGACTTACTTGGTGTCCAGTGGTTTGATGCTATGGAAGTACTGATGCATAGAATGATAGAAGAGACCCACAATTGTAATCCAGGCTGTAAAGAAGGCAAAATTTGTCAGTATCAGGATCGCAGTAATGCAGGAGGTGGAACCCAGTACCTAAAGCTACTTTGGATGCCAATAACTTTATCCTTTTTCATCCTGGGTCACTACTGCTCTAACTGTTGTAAGCCACCCAGGGTCTCTTGAATAGTGGAATGATATATACAGTAAATTTAATAAATTACATAAATAAATAATACCAAGGTTTGACTTTGAGGAGACCCTCTACAGCAGGGATCCCCAACCCCTGGTCCATGAGCCAGTACCGGGCCGCAGCATGCCAGCAACTGGTCTGCACAAACAAGGAAAACCCCATCCACAGGATGCAGGCAGCACACAAAACCATGCCACCTCCGGTCTGCGGAAAAACCTCTCTCCATGTAACTGGTCCCTGGTGCCCAAAAGGTTGGGGACCTCTGCTCTACAGCCTGTAGATCATTGTGGAAAGGGGGTTTGAAAAATAGGAAGGATTGGTGTGAAATTGTCACCAGTTGGAACAACTGAAAGAAGTTAAAGGGCTCAACAATTCGTTCATCTGTTGGAAAATCTTGATTGGAGCTGCAAAAATCACGATGGCCACTAGATGGCAAAGCGGGATGGGGAAAAAAGTAACTCTTTGCCGCCTTCCAATGGCCATACCGATTTTTGCAAGGCAAGGAACAATTCAGTTTCCCATTTCCCCTCTCAGCAATTCAAACAGGGAAAGATGTATTTGACCCAATCATCAGAAGAAGGGCAATTCAGAAAAAAAGCTGGTTTCTCCTGGCCCCTTCCTTGACCTACCAGATGGGCTGGATGTTAATTCCCAGAATCCCCAGCCATATGGTGGAAAACCTTGGCTGGCAGGAGAAAGCGAAAGGCAGCAGATTTTGACCTTTCTTTTCTTCTACTAAATTATCCCCTTACCTGAATATTGGAAAGCTTCTCTCGGTATAGAAATATAACTCTGTCCTTGTAATGGGAAGCGATATTGAGGCACATTCGGGAGCTGAGGAGGCATTTTAACCAGGGAATAATCTGTATAATAATGCAAACATTGATCAAAACCCGAAGGAAAAGGAGAGCAAAGCCATTCGTTAGTTCCTGCTTATTGTTGAGCCCCCCAGGTCTGTTCTTTTAACATTTTTAGCAATCAGGGTCTTTTGAAACAAACCAGCAGGGGGAAAAAATATATATATACTAGAGTTTTAAGCAAAAAAGAAAAGGGAACTTTATCATTTTGCAACAGGTAAAAAATAAAAATTAAAAGTGGAGAACCGAAGAGGGAGAAATGTGGGGAAGGTTTTTTTTGTTCTGTGTGGTTTTGTGGTGACCGGCTTACGTTTTGATCTATACTGCTGAGTGTGGAATTTTAATCTGCTTCCAGCACATGGCAAACAGACCTGGAAGAACGAAGGCTGATGCATGATACTGTAGATCAGGGGTGTCAAACTCAATTTCATTGAGGGCTGCATCAGCATTGTGGTTGCCCTTGGGGGGCTGGGTGGGTGTGGCCAGGGTAGGTGCGGCCTACTGGGTGGGCGTGGATGGAGTGGGTGTGGTCTACTGGGTGGGTGTGGCCAGCTCTACATCATTCGCGTCAATGGTGCCTGTGGGGGCCTGGGCAGGAGTGGGACAGATCTGAGGGTCTCTGGCAGAAGGGGGTGGGACCAGGACCACTTCCAGGTGATGATGCATTTCTTCATTCCTCACAAAGGGTGACCCCTTCCCAGCATGCACCCAGGGGACGGGGCCGACACGGCAGGGGCTGGTTCCTCGCTGTTTCCGGATGGCCTTGTGAAGCTAAGACTGAATGCGTTTCAGCATAGATGGCCACCACAAAATTGTACATTGGCTCCCTCCTGGCCGGCCTGGGCCAGGGCCAAGGCAGTGGGGGCCGTTCCCTCACTGTTTCCAGGATGGCTTCGCGGACCACATGAAACCACTTCGTGGGCCACATCCGGCCCCCCGGGCATTGTGTTTGACATGTCTGCTGTAGATATATCCACCCGCAGGCTCATCTACAGACAACACAATGCTTGTGTGAAGGGCAAGACCTTAAGAAACCCCATTTTGGAAGACCTGAACTAAGTCAACCGAGGCTGACATTTCTTTTCTATTTTTCGCTTCTCCTTCCTTTCCTGGATGTTCCTCAAGGAGGGACGAGCATTTCATCCCAGCAAAAACGGGAAAGGAAAAATTCATCTCTTCCTTCAGCCGGTGAAAAGCCACAGAGGTGGCTTTGTTCAATTATTCATCTCCTGTTGTCGGAGAACGAAACTGAGCCCCATAAATCTCACCTGCGACAGGTGAAGTGCCTTGGACTGTTATGGTCGAAGGGCTGCCTCCTAGATTGTGTGCGACGTGAAATGTCACACTGTCGATGGTGGACACCAGCCCTCCGGCGAGGGATGCGGTCTGAAAGCAGAAATGACAATGCTGGAGTGATACAGCAAGTGATGGAGGCCTTGACTTCAGGAGAACCCCAAGAATGTCTCAGAAAATATTATCCTTACCTGGTTGATGCTGATCCAAGCAGCTATCTTAAGAACTCTTTCCACCACTTTAAAGAAAACCTGCAGATGAACAGAGACGGGTTATTTGCTATGATGCAATCACCACCACCACCATCATCCATTACCTAGTGTGATTCTCCTGAAAATTATGCATTCCCGCCAGAAACCAGGGACAACTGTTTTTGCATATTGTCGATAGATATTTTATTGGGAGCCACCCAGAGTTTATTATAATATGGGTGGCCATATAAATGTTTTTTAAAAAATAAATTGGTAATTGATAGATAGATGGAGAGAGAGAGACAGAAAGAGAGACAGAGATAACAATAGAAGCCCAATAGCTAGAGAGAGAGAGATAGCGATAGAAGATAGATCAGGGATAGATAGATAGATAGATAGATAGATAGATAGATAGATAGATAGATAGATAGATAGATAGATAGATAGATAGATAGATAGATAGATAGGCAGGCAGGCAGGCAGGCAGGCAAACAGATAGATGGATAGAGTAGATGATAGATAATAGATGGATAGATAGATAGATACAGATATGATAGATAGATAGATAGATAGATAGATAGATAGATAGATAGATAGATAATAGATGGATAGATATATAGTTGATAGATGGACAGACAGACAGATAAGGATTCCAATGCCTGCTTTCCCATGCTCCACTTTTGAGACCTACATAAGCTGCAATCAAATGATTTTTCGTAAGGACTTTGGGCCTTATACCAAAATCTTTTTAGAAAATTCAGGAGTATGGCAAGGGAGGAATTGAGTTTCACATTTTCTCCATTAATGCAAAAAAATGTTTTATACTTTCTGTTTCTGCATGGCTGTGCCCACAAGACATGACTGCCACATTTCCATAAAGTCAGTTTGTATCATCCCCCAGAAATACTGAAGCTCTTTTAAACATTTTAAAGGCTTTGAAGCATCAAGAACAGAACTATGCTTTAAATGTCTCACATCAAAATATTTTTAAAGTCCTAAATCCATTGACAGTGCTTGCTGATACATATTCATATGTTCCTTTCCCATTCTGCAGTCTTCAGAAACGGATTGAGATCTGTGGAGTCCCTAACACTCTAAATTAAACTAGAGAACCAACCTAGAACTAAGGAGAAATTTCCTAACAGTGAGGATGATTAATCAGAATCCTTGAGAAATTGTTGGTGCTCCATCACTGGAGGCCTTCAAGAAGAGATAGGACAACCTTTTGTCTGAAATTGTATAGGGTCTTCTGCTTGAGCAGGGGGCTGGACTAGAAGACCTCCAAAACAACTTGTCGCTCACGAACCATTTTGATGTTGGGGCTGCCTCCCACTCCTCACATATGCCTGTGTCTTCATCATACCATCATAAACTGTGTGAAAGAGACTCATTTATATATGATTCATTTATATATGATTTGTGTGTGTGTGTGTTGAAAAGAATTCACTCACTGGAATTCTTCTATAAGATACTGCTTTCATCTTAATAAATCTCGATAAAGAAGAATCTGTGAAATTCAGGCTTGCAATCACTTGCAATCCAGGCAATCAGTCAAAGATGAGAACATAAATGTATATCACTCTTTTGTTGACTTGCACAGCTGTACTATGCATTTCTTCTGTTAGACAAGGGATGGATGGATGGGTGGATGGATGGAATGTAGACGTGATAGATATCCTGCTTCATAAATTTGAAAGATTGAATTGCAATTCATTCATGCCCTCTTCCTAGGCATCTGTAGAAGCCATGTTGACCTCGAGCACATTATGATGTCATAGCTCAAATGACATGGATTTCACTAATCAATGACCTCATAACACAAGTGATGTCACTTGTCCCCTGGCAGGTGCCCAATCTCTCTTGAATCCCGGTAAAATAGAATAGAATAGAATAGAATAGAATAGAATAGAATAGAATAGAATAGAATAGAATAGAATAGAATAATTTTTATTGGCCAAATGTGATTGGCACATAAGGAAAATGATACTAGTGCCATTTTCTATATTTGACTAAAACAAGATGGGAACCTGTTTACAGTGCACTGCCTAATAACTAAAGGATGTTTCCCTCTACAGATTGATTAATTACCTTAGTAAGCTGATTAGCAGATGAAAGAAAGTTACCTTAGTAAAGTTGATTTTTGAAAAAATGGGGGAAAATTACCTCTGTAAATTAGGAAATGGCCTCAATAAGCAGATTAACGGATGAAGAAAAATTACCTCAGTAAGATTGTAGGCAGTATTTGCTGTGAGAGATTCATTAGGCATGGCGTTTGAAATGTTTTTCAGATAGTCCAACGTGACATATGGGTCCTGGACACTATGTTTTCCCTCTGTGAGATTAATTATGATGGATTGGTAGGCATTTATGGAAAGCTGTAAGCATAAAATAACAGAACACTGAAAGGTCCTTCTCTGACTCAATATTGACCAAGGAAATGAGCCTCTTCTTTGATACATTTACTAAATCATTTTTAATTTATTTTATTTATTTTATTTTCAGGGTCTGGGCTGACAAGGAAATCTATTCTGTCTGGAGGTCCTCCCTGCAAAATTCAACTTCCTGGATAATCCATTTTATTTTTATTTTATAAATATTCTATCTTGCCTTCCAAGCCATTGATAAAGCTGGAGAGGTGGTTCCCACTTTAAACGGAGTAAAATGCAATTCAGATGCTGGTGGAATCCAATTACCTTAACTCAAACTTCTATTACAACTTTTCCTTTGAGAAAATTCCACTGCCGAAATAGCTCATTTCTCTGACTGACCCAGCTTGGAAGAAGGTTTTAATCTCAACCATGAAAGGTCTCCACGGCTCATAATGTCCATTTTCCCTTCAGCTCCTATCTACAACCTTCAACTTGGGCGTCTCTGGAGCAAGTCCATCCCCTTAGCCACCACACTACAATATGTACAAATTATGCATTTTAGAGAAAATAGCATGCAAATATGACAAGAGTATGTCAAACTGAACACAGTACGTGCAGGTTTCGAGGCGTTTTTTTTTCCAGTTCACATTTGGATGCAGAAATCGAGTGGAATACAATTGACATAAATGGGAAGCACAGATTTTGACCTCAGAGTTAAGCCTTATAGGAAGATCAAAGCTTGTAGGTTACTTTTCTCCTTTTTACTGGCTGGAAACTTGGAATGATATAACTTTTTTTCCCCCTCTAACATAAGCAACCTGGCAATGTAACGGAAAGAATTTAAGGAATGCACCTACCACGGGAAGGGTTGCTGTTGTTTGCCATCCCCACGGAGATGTTGAAGCAAGCACTGCTTGGTCACCTAGAAACCACAGTGAGAAACATTAACCAGGACTTTCCCCTTTGGTACCGAGAACTGGGGTGGGGAATATAATCCAAGGTAAAAGTTGGTGTTATCCAGAAGAAAAGTTGAAGGGCTGAAATGTGAGGCTAGCTAACACTCTCCCCTGTTGTGAAATGAACAGATGGTTGACATCACCAGCATATCTTCGATAACAAATTATTTTCAAAAGCACCACCTCCCTGAAGTACTTTCCTGTAGACTAAATTTTTCTCAATTTTGGCTTTTAGGAATTAACCTCAGTATGGTCACACCGTGGCCCTTTCCTTCTCTGCATCACCATTCATTTTTAACATGAAATCTTGTTTGGCTAATTTTGTGGCCTAGATTTAGTGGAAGAGAAGATGGGGATACAAGAGGTAAACTGGAGGGGAGACGACATAGAAATGGGTACACTGAAAAATTCACTTCGGTATCCAGAAAATGCCACTGAAAAGTTCAAAAGCGTGTAAATATCTAGTTCCATGTAGCTTCTTGATACAGTATTTTGGATATTGTGATCTGGGCTAGCTAGTTCGTTGTGGGAAAAGGCTTCTTGAGACAGTGTTTTGAATGTTGTGTTAATCCCAATGGAGGCCACAGTTTAGCAAAAGGATAAATCATTTGCTTTCAAGAAAACCACATTAAATCCTTAGCCTTGTCATCTGTGAGTAGACGATCAGGATGTGAAGGGGGGAAATTCTGTCGTAAAATTATGTTGTTAGATACACTAGGAAAGATGGACAAATAATCTGATTTTTGTACCAATTACTGTATGTCAGAAGCCTACACAGCTCTTCTAACCCCTAAATATTGGATGAGGTGATTTTCTCCCTCAGAATGAGAATGATCTCCTGATGTTTTGAGGGTGTCTCTCTCAAAACACAGTCATCTTATCCAGCCTTTGCAAAACCTGATTAAGAGTTAAGATTTTCCGACTCAGTGGAAATCCTCCCGTCATATCACTGAGGACATTGAGCATTCTGTTCAAGGTTCAAACCAGACAAGATATTCAACTCCCTTTGTGGGGTGAAACTTACCAATAGCAGCTGTGAAATACTGCTTGATCTCGTTGGCGGTGAGCACTCTTTCCCATATGATGAATTCGTCAAAGGCGCCATGGATGTACCGTTTCCCTTGACGGCCTTCGGAGCCCATCAGCAAGTTTGAATTAGAGTCCCCATAGTTGTAGAAATCTTCCCCACGGGGATCAACGTTGTTCAAAGTCCCGTTGATGTAGACTTTCAGGCCCTCTTTAGATTTCCAGGTAAACAGGATATGCGTCCAATGGGGACCTGAAAAACAGTGGAAATTTAAAGCAAAAAAGTTTTGGGTTAAGATACATACATGGTTGGAAAAGATGATTAAAAAGCAGATAGAGTTCAAACCAGAACTGTTTTTGTTAGGAATATTAGGACCTAATTATGAGAAGGAGAATGAATACCTAATATTGTATGTATTAACAGCAGCAAGAATTGTATTTGCCCAATATTGGAAGAATGAAAACTTACCAACTGAAGAGGTTTTAATTAAGAAAATCTTAGAATGTGCAGAAATGGATAGATTGACTTTAGAGATTAAAGAGAAAGAAGATTCAGTCTACTTCAGAACATGGGATAACTTCTATCAATGGTTAGGAAAACGAACTAGTGAGAAACAAAGGTGATATGTTATTTTGAATACATACCAGTAAGAAGAATGTTATGCACTGATTAATTAATACTGTCTATGATAATCAATCATACTCACTACAGTTTCTATTATATTAATTATTGTTACCTAAACATATGTACCCGGACAATAGTCTGTTTGCTAAATATTGAAAAATTTTCTGGGGGATAACCCCAATGCTGATCCCAACCTGGTCCTAATTCCAATCCCAACCCCAACCTCACCCTAACCCCCAATCCCTTCCCCGACCCAATAAAATTCAATAAAAATTATTTTTTTTAAAAAAGAAAAACAGTGGACATTTAGGTGATGTGTCAGGGCCCACTTCAACACCTCATCCTAAGAAAGCAGAACTTGTGGAAGCGGTTTCTTCCAAAAGGAACTTTTATTAGGAGAAGCTGACAGCAGGCATAATAGACAGGATCTGAGGGGTTCCCGCTCAGATCAATAGGTTAAAAGTGTCCTAAGCAAACCCCACCCCAATGGTTCATCCGGTCAGTTCGAATGGGCCAATCCCCAGAGGTTAAGTCCATTGTGAGAAAATGCTGATAACGCCAGTCCATCACAGGGTTGTAGCGGTGTTTGTTGGGTCTTCACACCTTCCCTTCCGAACAGGAGATAAGCCAAATGCCCGGAAGCACATTCCTTTCTCTCCCCCCCTCTTCGAGCTGACATCAAGGGGAAAAGACAGTTCAAAGAGTGTGCGTGCAGAGACAACAAAAGAGTTGTAGCAATAGAGAATAACAAAGAGGCAGCCCGCAGCATCTTCCCCCTCCCTTCCAGGTGTATGGCAGAACCCAGAAGAATAGAAAGAATAGAAATAGAAAGAGCCCTTTAAACAATATGAGTCCTGACATGCTGTCTCAATTTGTACCTTTAAGTAATAAGCGATCCTTGACTCCATTTCTTGAAAAAGGTATAGCTCACTAAAGGTCAAGTGGATTTCAGTAAAGCAAAGCCAGAACTGAGGGTTGTGCACCAAAACTTTACATTTAAACCGCCTTCTCGGATACACCCCCCCCACCCCCATCATCCAATCAGTTTCAAAGAATACGCCTTTGAATGTCCTGAATGTAAGTTGTCTTGCAGCTGCAATCTCTCGCCAAATAAATGGCCTTGAGAGATTTCTCCAACAGTACAGCCTCAATTCAACCTCCCCCCCAAGTCTTCCCACTCTCTGTTGCCCCCTCCCCCTCCAAGGTTTATGGCAAACGGACGCCGAATGCAGGAAAGTACTGGGGTGATTTGACAGTTCTGACAGGTGACGTCATTGTAATGGTAGGTGAGAATGGCCTTGGCAGACAGGAGGAAG